TCCTCTGGAGATGAGAGCACATTCTTTACTCCCCTCCCACCATTCCAGTCCATCACAGGTACGTATCCTACATTTCATAATGTTTTGGCTATACTACTATCAGCCCTAGCAACTAATTGAGTCCAGAGAGCAGCAGGTTAGGGAGGAATGTGGCTTTAAGTTCGTTTAAAACCATAAGATAGTGCTCAAGATTGACCGCCAATGTACTGGATTTAAATGTACTAAGCCATCATGTCCTTGTTTGATAGAATGTCAGGGCTGGAGATCATCTAGTCCAGCCCACTGTCCAGTGTAGGAATCTACCACCATGGCATCCCTAACAGGTGACCACCCAGCCTCTATTTATATACCTCCACTGAAATAAATCATTTCATTCTGACTCCCTTGGTCAGTCTGTTCCCTTGGTGAAATTCTTATTAGGAAATTCTTCCTGATCTCCAACTGGACTCCCTTGTCATTTGAGTGCCTTGTTTCTTGTCCTGAATCCTGGAGTTACTCAGAAGAATTCTGCCCGTCTTATGAGAGCCCTTCAGATACATGAAGACAGTTTCACAGTGTCTCCCTAGTCTGTTTTCTCCAGGCTGAATATCCCCAACACCTCCAGCCCGCCCTTGTATGTTTTTCCTCTGGACATGCTCCAGTTTGTCAATGTCCTCCTTAAATGCGGTGCACAGAACTGGACACAATATTCTAGGTGCAGAATAGGGAGGAACAATCATTTCTCTTGATCTTGACATTTCTGTTGATGCAGCCAAGGATTGTGCTGGCTGCTTTTTCCAGCTACATCCCATTGTTAGCTCATGTTCAGCTTGAGACCTACCAAGACATAATTACGTATGGTCTCTCCCACCCTACATTTATTGATGCTTTTGAATGTTCCTATCCAAATGTTGGGCTCTGCATTTGTGGATGCTGAAATTCATCTTGCTGCTCATTGTTCCAGCCTATCACAGTCCTCCTGAATCTTGATAGTCCTCCCTAAGGTGTTTGCTATCTTTCTGTTCTCTACAGATGGGATACTTGGATTATCTTGCCCCTGATCCAATGCAGCTATGAGATACAGCCCTCAGCACTTCCCTCCAGTTTGATGTTGGGGCACTGACTGACACTTGAGTACAATTGTTCAGCCAGCTCTGGATCTAGTGATACCAAGGTCCAGTTTGAGATAAACTCCAGAAGGAGGGCCTTGTTGATGGGGGCTCTCTGCCTTTGGGACACACTCATTAGGCAACTAGTTGGGACTTTATATGCCCCAGGTAAAGTCCCTTTTATTTCTCACCTTTGAATTTAAACCTCTGCATCAGTTGGCTTTTTAAACAGTGTTCCTGTATCCTGGATTTACACTGTGGCTGTGGGTTGGCTTTGTTTGAGCTTACAATTTTGTAGCAGGGTTGCATGTTAAACTTTAAAGCGTTATTATAAACTGGCCAGAGAACCTTCTCACTTTCAGTAGATTTTCCTAGACCCAAAGGGGCCAGTGACTCCTTGGGAACAGTTTCTCCTTTCTGGTCACAAGGGGGCGCTCCTGCCTCGTTCTCCTTCTGGGGCCACAGCCAAAAGCTTCCTAAACTCAGCAGGGCTGGCTTGTTGGAGGAAGAGTTCCTCACACACTGCCAGTGGAAGCCCCTTGGATTCTGCCTTAGGAGAAGAAAAAAGGATATATATTCTATATATATTTAAATCTACTTTGTTGATTGAGGTATTAAGTAACAACTGATTGGATTAACATATATTGCTCTCTTGAGCAATGGATTCCCACACCTGCACTGAGCCAAAATGAAGTTGGTAAACCATGTTGTGTGAGCCCAGCCAACTGTGTGTTTCCTCACTTAAACCAATCAAAGATAAACCAAAACTGATAAACCATGACCATCACTATCATGGACAGGGAGGTAAGTATTAGAGGAGTTATTCATGTGTGGCTTGGTAGGCAGCATTTAGCCAGCCTTGGTTGAGCTGGAAAAGCCAAGCAGAACTGGACCTAGTTAGTCCTTGGATGGGAGACCACCAGGAAGCTTCAGGGCTGAGGCCAGACTCAGAAGTTGGAAAATATCCTGGGAAAAGGCAGTAGCAGAGGACTTCTATGCTGTGCCAAGGAAACCACAAGGTCGAGTCTGGTAGCACCAGCAGCCAAACTCAACTTGAAGGCAGCTTTACTCTAGTAGAATTTTAAACGGCAGTCCGTATGTTTTGCATAGATACAGGGGCTGCAGTCTCAAGTCAGCCTGTGAACCTGGCAATTCAGTCAAAGCTCCACGGCTGGCATTTAACTGCCCTGGGCACAGCGAAGCGACAAAGAGCAAAATGCTCCTCGCGTGACGATGCCCTTCGTCCAGCCCCTGAAAGGGGACCTCTCGTCTCGTTGAGGCCGCTTCCTCCCCTCCCCGTGGGTGGGTTTTACCTTTGAAACAGGCCGCGCTCGCTTTCAACGTCGCTCCTGCCTTCGCGCGCGCCGCCGTACTGGCGCGTGGGGTGGAAGCTGCTGCTCCTCCTCCTCCTCCACCTCCCCCACCGGTGCCGTCTTCAAACCGCCCCCTCCGCCTGGGCGGCCGGGAAGCGCCGTCCTCCTCGGCCTGCGGGGTCCCCCCGGTGGCGAGGGAGCGCCGCAACGTCTGCGCCCTCCCCTCGGCCCTGCCAGCCGAGGCGGGTGCGCCCGGTGCCCGTCGCGAGGGACGGTTCGTCGCCTCCGCCTCCGCCTCCTTCTCCCGGCTGCGGGTCCGTCGTGCGGGAAGCGAGATTTCAGATGTTGGTGCCACTCAAGACGGCTTTCCAACGGGCCGGGAAGATGTCCGAGGGGAGCTTGCCCAAACTGGAAGCCAACATCCTGGTCACCGGGGCGCAGAAAGTGGGGAAATCGGGTAAGTTGCCGCTGCCGCCGCCGCTGCCGCCGCTCCGGAGCGGCGTCTCGGCGTGTG